ATATATATATATATATACACACAGTATATACCTTTTTTCAAAGTGTCTTCTGGCCAATACCTCACATGTCCTTCCTTGGTCCTTATTGCTGCACCTAACTGGACTTACATAATATTGTGAATACTATTTAGTGGTAATACTAAAAGGGGTAAATGTTTAAAAGGGTTGAACGTTGCTGGCCATCATTCAGCCTAGTAGACTAAGGACATCTAGTGGTGGAAAGTAATTACTGTGGGGACAGCACTGGACTGAAGTTCAGTATTGCAGCAAAAGTATTTTTTTTTTCATTATTACTGATATTTTAATCTTATTTTTTTAGCTGGAGTTCAGCTTTAATATACTTTAAAAAGCTGGTGGACTTATAACTTTACTTCCACACTTTGGCAATTTATATTTAAATGTGATAGTGATGTGTTTAGGGTGAGAGGAAGCTATCTGCATTGCTCTATTTGTTTCCTTTGCCTTGTGGCTTTCCAGTTTAATAGGACCATACAAAGAATGTCAGTTTAACCTTCAGATATATTTATATTCTTTATAGTTCAAAGAATAGAAAATGTCACTTTTGGAGCTCAGACCAGATAAAATGCCCTAGTTAATACACACAAAATAGCATGAATTTATTTTACCATTATTAAATATGAAAACCTACAGCTCTTTCCACTGCAGCGATCATCTAGTTTATGGTCCATTGCATGTAGCATTTCATTTCTAAATCAGAAATTGTACCATGGAAAATTTTCTTGAATAAATTTGATATTTTACATTAAACATTACATTGAGGAAGAACTCCAGGGAAATGTAAAACATTTATAAGACTTATTTCAACATGTGTATTCCATCACTTCCTCCACTACCACTAGGGTTGCCTGCTACTGGCTATAGAAACAGATCTATAATGCTTTTTCTTCCACAAGGTGTGTTTTCCACTTTTCTATAAACTTCCGTATAAACAGTTATAACCTTGCTATTTCTGATTTATAAGAGACATAATAAAATAATAAAAATTATTTTAAGAGACATAAAACATAATACAAATATAGATACCATAGCTGACCTCCTTTTAAAAACACATGGATATTATAACCCTCTGATTTTAATACTTCAATAATCTGGAATTAGTAAATATATCAAGAGAATGAGGGGGAAAAAAAAGTCAAGGATACTTTTTGAGAAAGTGTGGGAAGTGGTTAAAGAGACACTGTCATCTGCCCATTAACCTACACCCACTGCAAGGTATACTCACAAATCTGTGCTCGCTAGTTGCCCCCCCCATTGCAGGAAACCACCCTAGGTGGTGCTGGATGGACCCAGTGGCTTGCCCAGGCAGACTACATCACTCCCCCCAGTGACAATGTTCAGGTTTGAGTGGCCAATCATAATTCACACATAGGAAAGGCCACATTATACATTATACCAAGAGGCCATGCTCCATTAAAGCAATGGATCTGATGGACTGGAGAGGCAGCAAGAGAGCATATTAGTGAACAAGCCTTGCTGGGGTGGATAGTTTCTTTTAGGATATCCTGTCACTTTGTCCTGAATGCAACATAAATACATTGTAAACTAAGTGACCTGAGTTTTAACTGTGTTCATATTGTGAATAGCAGTATACTGCTACTTCCCAGTGAAGTGCCATTAGACACAGTCATCAGACACAGTGCACATGGCTTTTTTTTACCTGTGTTTGATGCTCATTTGAAATGCATATCAAACGCAGGTGATTCCCATTTACCTTAATACACAGTACAGTGTGCAGGCTGCGTTTCTCTAAACACAACATGTCATAATGGAGATGTGTTTTTATTGCAGGCAAAGCAGGTCAAATGCATCCTTTAGCATTCAAATGCATACATTCAAATGTAAATAATTTGACAGCAACTCCAGTGTACACAAGCCCTTAGGCCTCATTCACACAAGGCTTTAAGGCCTGTCTACAGATTACTGTGGCAGAGGAATCACAGCTGGTTCCAGACATGGAGCAATTATCTGCAATTAGATACAGATGGGCAATTACTTCTGAAAATGGACAGACAGCTGCAGCCGTGATGTCAGACTCTCAGGGCTCGTTCACACCAGATGCAGTGAGTTCCGGTCCAATTCTGCATCACATTGCGGCCGGCTCACTTTTTTGTGCGGCAGGAGGGGGCATGACAGGCCATTGAAGTGAATGGCACCGTAGCCATGCCCTCCGGCCGCAATGCGATTGGCCGCACGGGATCGCAAGACACATTATGCCTGTGGTCCGGGGCGATCAAAATAGTGCTTGCAGCATTTTGATCGGACTGGGCTGGACCGCAGGCATAATGTGCCTTGCGATCCATTGCGGCCAATCACATTGCAGCCGGAGGGCGTCGCTGAGGTGCCATTCACTTCAATGGCGCGTCACGCCTCCTCCTGGCCCACAAAAAAGTGAGCCGGCCGCAATGCGATGCAGTGCGTTCTGGCCAGAATTGGGCCGGAATGACTGCATCTGGCATGATCAAGCCCTCAAGGTATTGCCTGGATTTGTGCTTTCATAAAAATTATATATGGTAAGCAACCTTTGTTTGGTGTCATGTTTATGGAAAATTTCCATTGCACCAAGTGTTGACAGGTAATGAGCAGCTTAGAGAGACACATCAAATCTGGCCACATGTGCCCTCTAACTATACTGCATTACCATTATATTGTGTTATAGTGGCCTGCCCCATTCTGTGTTCAGCTTTTTACCTGCCCTCTAAAAATTAGCATTAAATAGGTAATTATAAATATTTTCAATTACAAAGGCGTCTGCAGGAAACTTGATTACTTGAATGTTGGCCTTCAACCATTTTCTAATGAAGGTTATTGCTTGCTATTTGTATGAAAATCTCAATAAATAATGACAATTGCTTAAAAACCCTGAACAAAAATAAGAAGAATATTAACAATGGATTAATGTAAAAATGCCTATATTTTCAGATAAATGTGTGGAATTTCAAAAACTTAACATGACCAACGGAAGTATTTCAATGTTTGCCAATGCCACATCTCCGGTGATGGAGTTCTGGGAGTAAGTACTATTCATGATTATTTAATTAAGTTGCTCCTAATTTGCTTTTTACAAGCTTTTGTGACAGATACAGTAAATGTACTAGTACTGCAATATCTGTTTGTTGATTTTTTTACATTCTCTACAATTGTTACTGCTTTGATAAGACAAGGCATTTTCCTGCTGTGTATCTAAAGACAACATTTTTTCATTTTGAGTTGAATGTTCAGGGTTTTGGGTACCTGAACGTTTTTTGTTTAGTTTTTTAACAAAAATCTAAGTGTATCAACCATAAAGCAGTACTCACAAAAAATCAATCAACCATGCAAAACATTTAATAAAAACAAATATAATAATTATTACCACTATATATGTGCTTGAAGACTGTGGGATAAATTGTATTTCAACAAAAAGTGTTCCTTCCAAAAAATGGTCTCAATCATAACACATTACCCCTACTAGGATCAGCAAGATAAAGTTAGTGTAATAAGTAATAGGTAAATGCTGCTGTAAAATAGTTAGGGACACAGAAATATTCACAGTTCTAAATGCAGAATTTGGAGAGGTCTTGATGTGAATTAAGCAGATCAGCACACAGCACTGGTAGAGGATCATGTTATATTCTTATACAGAGGCAATGTTCTGGTATTATAGAGCAATATTATGCCCTTACTATGCAATGTCTTAGAGAAGCCACCATGCAAACCTTGAAGGAGAATATCATAAATCAGCATATGGGTAGACTGCTATTTGAAAGTCTGGAAACTGCAGAAGATCTGAGCAAATTTAAAGCAGACATTCAACAGTCTAGTGAATGGACACATGCCCTCAGTTCAGCAGAATAGCAATATAGCAATGCAATGATGTCCATTACATAATTCTCCAATAGATATCAACCAACCCATCCTAATATCAGGATTGAGATTATAGTAGGGCATTAAGGTTGGTGATGATGGAAACAGAGAATATACTGTACACTGACAAGTAGGAAATTGTAACCCTTGCAGGTAAGTTACCATCTGAGTTCAATCCTGATTTAGTGGCATTGTGCCTAGGGCAAACATGTGGCTCGGAAAGAAATCATTTATGAAATCATTTAGAGCCAGTAGAATATGGGCTTTTAATCTGTAGATCCATCTACTTTCTAATGTTTATAGATTTTTTATTGAAGTTGGTCGCCCCTTCTTTCATTTGTGTGAATTCTGTCTAGAACTTAGTACAAGCAATGTGCAATGCGGCCATCATGTTTAAGGAAACACAGGGGTCTATTCACTAGTCAGCCTAGTGAATGACCGACCTAAAGCGAAGTGAGCCGAACGCTGTTCAGCTATTCACTTCAGGCTGCTACGGCTGATTTCAGCCGTATATCGGCTGAAATCAGCCGTACATCGGGTGGCTTCGGGTCCGCCGAACATGCACAGCATGTTCGGCGGACCCGAAGTGCAGAAGGAGTTCGACTCAGCCGATCCAACATCTGGATCGGCTGAGCCGAACCTCCGGCAGGCTACTCGCTGCTGTTCGGTCTATTCTCATAGATGCCGAACAGCAGTGAGTGAATAGCTGAATGCCGCTGAGCGGCATTCGGCTCGGCTGTTCTGCTCGGTCTCTCTGTGTGATGCGTGTTTTTGAGTATTTTTTGCGCGCTTTTATGCCCATTTGATGCACATATGCCAAAAAAGTGCGTCTTTGTGAGCAGATTGTAGCTCATTGATGTTAATGAGGAAAAGTGCATAAAAGGCGCATAAAACGGGTGAAAACACAGCAAACTGGCATTTTCAAGCGTTTCCCTTTTCAGTCTATGGGGCCATAACGAGCCGTAATATGGAAAAATAAAAGCTCCTGTACTTTTTCCAGCGACAGATTGTTCACTTCTTCTACCTCCTCCAAACTCTTTACCTTTTAGTGAATAGCCCTGTAAAATTCAAACAGGTCAAGTACAGGACAGGGATAAACAGAGTTCTGAATGTGCAAGTACACAAACATGTATTTACTTGAATAAACTATATAGACAATCCAAACTATGGTGGGATATAGCTTATTTTAGTGATAAAAAAAAAGAGAAAGAGATCCAAAAGGCTCTTTTGGAATCTGAACCTTTTAAAGAATCCTCCATTCATGTCTAAAAGACATGGGACCACCTTTTTTATGTAGAGAAAATTGACAATGACATTTTGAAAACAAGGGATTTGATGTTTGTAAAAGACTTACAGACATACAAGGTTGGAAGAACCTACTGTGGGGACGTTGACTCCATCCCAAACATCCTGAAAACATTGAAAACCCAAATTGCAGAGATTACTGTAAGGCACATTACTTCCAGTTTGGAAATCCCTAAGAGAATACACGCTATACATCGAAAGGGTCAGTACCAAACCAGATCATAAACAGGGAATATAAATATAAAAATCTAATAAAGCAACAAGTCTTTAAAGGCAACACCTCATAACAAATTGAAGGCAATATACCTACTTCACAACATTCTAACATTTTGTAAACACAAGCAACACTTTTTTTATAATCTGGATTTTGTTTCTTACACAGTCAATAGAAGATTTCCTAGTACCTAGCCATTTTGAAAAAAAGAGGCTTACATTGTTGTGCGTCCTTCACTTCAATTTGTAGCCTTATCCACTTAGCATATTCTTAGGTATTACTTTCATCATATTGCTTTCAGTATATGGATTCATTATCACATGGTAGTCTATGCATATTGCCATTTGGAGATCTCATTGTGACTGCACTTTAATCACCTGTGATCTAGTTTCATTCTCTGAACTATTATTGAGCATGTAGAGTCTTTAGAGTCTTTCCTCTCGAAAGTAATAGGATATACTTACCTGTAGGATTATATACACTGGTCCTGTGGATATAAGAATTGTGGCATGAGTATGTCATCTGCGTGGACATTATTGCTTTGCTATAGTTCTAGTCTGCTGATAACTAGAACTCTAGGGATGTGTACATTTACTCCTTAGTGACAAGTTTTTTTTTCTTCAAGCTTTTTGTTCTGTTGGATGGAGATTAGAAAGTTATCTCTGAAATGTGATAATATGATTGCATAGAGCCAGGGCTGGATTTCGGTATAGTCAACATATACTATGGCTTAGAACAGCTGGGCTAACAGGGGTGGCACCAATAGTACTCATAGCATGTGTGAATCAAGTGAGTTAAGGGGGTGGAATATCTGTTTTAATTAGCCCCCACTGTGCCTTCCTTGGACCCTGAGAGCCTCCAGCCAGCTGAAGACCTCATAAACTCCCATATTGCCCCTCAGTCTCCCACAGTGCCCCTAGGCCCTGCAAACTCCCACAGTTTGTCCCAGCCTGTCTGCAGCCTGTTCCATGGCCTCCAGCTCCCCATAGTGCTCTCAGCCTCCAACAGTGTCTTACAGTGCCCCCCAATCCCCCATACTTCCCCCAACTTTCACAGTGCTTCCAGCCGTCAACAGTGCCCCTGCAAAGTCCCCAGCCCTTTTTAGAGACCTTGTCTCCCACATTTGTCCCAGCCACCTCCAGATCCCTTATCCACCACAGGGTCACCAAGTCTGCTGTTGAGTTCCCTTTCCCCCTCCAGAGCCTCCATCCACCCATAGTGTCACCCAGCTTCATCCAGAGCCTTCCTGTCTTCAGGTCTTTCTAGAGCCCCTATTTTTCTCCTACTGACCCCATCAGGGCATATTTTTCTTCTACTGACCCCATCAGGGCATATTTTTCTTCTACTGACCACTTATGCCAGAGTGTTCTTCTTTCTACTGACCACCAAACAGGATCAGGATGTGTGCATGTGGGGGGTGGGGGGATAACTCTGCTTTATGCACTGACTCATGCATGATAAACCAGGAGAAAGGGGCCTGCTGTTTGGCAACTTAGCCCTGGGTGGGCACTTCATGAACTTTTCCTGACACTGCACCTTTGAATCCAGATATTTGGTAGACCGAAGCAATTTCATTTACTACCCTAATGCATTGCATTTATCTTAGGTTATGAGATCTTTATTGAAGTCCTTTTCAAAATACAGTTGAGTGTCTTTGATTCTTTTGTATCATATGATGCCGGAAGCAGGAAAAAAAAACACATTTGCTCCTAGAAAATCTGTTGATAGAACACTTGTTTAATGTGTAGAAATGTGGCCAAGCCAATCTGTGAGAAAATTCCAGAATTGAGAAAATAGAGCCAAAAGGCTTATATTTATATTTTATAAAATTTGTCAGAGTATGCCAGCCTTGGACCAGATTTAAATGACAATATTAAGCTGTGATTCCTTTAGGACTATGAGTAATATGTAATTACCATTAGGGAAACCTCCTCTCTGAAAGTGTTTTTTTCTTTAATTGACATGTTAGCTATTACTATGAGATAATCTTTCATGGTTTACAGTTTGCATATTTTGTCCATATAGACACATGTAAGGAGAAACTATGAAAGAATCTATTTACCAAAATGGCAATTGAGGGCTTGTGTCTGGGACAGGAAGGGACAGTATCAAGCCTTAAAATGTATAAACTGTGATAATTTTTTTCTTTGTTTGACTCCCTCTTCTGCATGGAACGAGGTGAAGAAAAAACAGAAAAGTCAGAACGTTCTTTATAGCTTAACAAACATAAAATACCTCAAAAACTAACACTATAATTAAAATTTACAAAAGTGTAGGGTAGTGTTCTACCTCTTAAATCTGAGTCGATGTGAATAAAATATTCAAAGGATAAAGATAGATAGCAGTCTGTTGGTCCGAGGAACGTGTGCTTCGTCCATGCTTGGAACAGTCGGCAGATTTCTATTGATCTTATGTGCTCCAATTGTGATAGTGTTATTCATGCATTGAGCTACTGTGAGTTGTATGGACAATTTATACTGCTTATTTATTACTAACTGAAATTATGCTATGATATACCTGGTTCTGCTTGAGCCTACCTACACCTACAGAGCATTTATTATCGAGGCATTTTTTACATACTTAGAGCTCTATAGTTATACCAGACAACCACTGTGCCTTTGGAGATTGGAAACCTCTGTACTCCCTGC